ATCATCTGCATCTGCTCATCAATATGAATCTGAGAAACCTACCAAGTTGAAGTTTACAGCCTTTGAAATATTCAGTCCAAAGTTTAAGGTTCCACTCACATATCTCAGAATCCTCTTGATGGCTTTTCAGTGTGTATCTAAAGGATTTGACATATACTGACTTATCTTGTTAACACTGTATTCCAAATCAGGTCTAGAAATAGTGAGGTATTACAGACCTCCCACTATGCTCCTAAAATGAGTGTCATTGCAACTTTGTTTTCCTTCATATTTACTGAGTTGAGCTCCTGTTAGTATAGAAGTTGTTATTCCCTTAGCTCATATCATGGAAGCTTTATGAAGGAGGTCTTGTGCATATTGCCTTTGACTGAGGAAAATGCCATCCTCGGTCGTTTTTATCTTAATGCTTAAGAAATGGTGTAACTCTCCCATATCCTTAAGTGAAAAACTTTTCCCTAACAGGTTTATGAGCTTGTTGACCTCTTTTTTTATCACTTCCAGTAACCAAGATATCATCAACATAAATTAAAAGATAAATAGTAACTCCTTTGGTAAGCTTAAAGAACAATGAATTATCTGCCCTTGAGCAAATAAAACTGAGATTCTGAAGAGTGTTCTTTACTTAAAAAACCAGGCTATTGAAGCCTGTTTTAGTCCATAGATGGACCTGGTGAGTTTGCAAACCAAAGGCACTTATGACTCTTGCTCAAATCCTGGAGACTGCATCATATAGATGTTTTCAGATAAATCACCATTTAGGTAAGCATTGTTAATGTCAAGCTGCCTTACTTTCCATCCCAAGGTAGTAGTTATAGTCAGATAGATTCTTTTGGTTGTGTGTTTCACCACTGGACTGAAGGTCTCTTGGAAATCAAACCCCTTTGCTTGAGAGAACCCTTGAGCCATCAACCGGGCCTTACACCTGTTGATTTTGCCATTAGCATCTCTTTTTATTTTGAAAACCCATTTGCATCCCACAATATTCTTTCCTTGTGGAGGTGAGGTCAGGAACCATGTTTTGTTCCTCATCAATTATTCATACTCATTTCTCATGGTTTCCTTCCAATTGTCTGATTCCAAAGCTTGTAACAGACTACTTGGTTCTTTCTCCTCCACAACACCAGTTAAGGCCCTTGGTTTAAAGATTCCAGCTCTCAATCTTGTGATGGTGTCTATTTTGAATTACCTGAGGTAAAGAAGGAACAGTGAAAAGTGGGGTGCTTGTATGAGAGCTGTTCTGTTACTCTTCAAACTTTGAGCTTCCTTTGAGTTGGTCTGAGAAGACTCACTATGGTTTATAGGAGTCTGAATTTTCTTCTGCTGATGAGTGAAAGTTCTGCCACTCTTTTGAACTAAGGGAGAACATCTAACCCCTTGAGAAGGTAAATTATGTGTGCTTGTATAATTGCCTGCAGTTTGAGCATAAAAAAATATGTTCTCATTGAAAATAACATGTCTGGAGACTATCACTTTCCCATTTGGCAAGAGGGCCTTATACCCTTTGTGAGAATTGCTATAGCCCAATTAAAGTTGAAGGATGTGATCTCATCTCTAGCTTGTGCTTATTAAAACTCCTCAAATGTGGAAAGCATACGCAACCAAAAGCCTTCAAGCTATTGTAATTTGGTTTGTGTTTATGTAGCATTTCCAGTGGGCCTTTGTAGCCACTGCATCATCCCAAAATTTAGTGGGCAAATGTGTTTGTGCCAATTGGGACAATGCCATCTCTATAAGGTGATTGTGCTTCCACTCTGCCACACCATTTTGTTCAAGTGTGTGTGGACAAGGTATTCTATGAATAATGCCATTTTGCTGCAAGTAGATGGTTAGTGATCTAAACTCATCTCCCCAATCACTTTGAAAATGTTTTAGGGAAGTGTTGAATTGTTTTTCTGCCATGCTCTTGAAATGCAAGAAAATATCATGAACTTCAGATTTTTGCTTCATGAAATAAACCCAAGTAAACTTGTTGAAATGATCAATGAAACAAACATAATAAGCATATCCATTGTTGGACTTTAGTGGTGTTGGACCCCACAAGTCAGAGTGAACAAGTTTCTGAGCTAAATCCTTTCAATCCTATCCTGGCTCTAGTAACTCGATTGGGTTGGGGAATTCTCATATTCTGAAAGTTCACGATGGTAGAGATTTTTCAAATCCTACTCTACTAGCCCTAATCTTAGTCTTAAGGTTGGTCATACTCAGTGCTAGAATTATCAAAAGGAATTTTGTGACTTTTAACCACTGCACATATTGAACACAAACTTGTCTCTTTATTCAAATCATAAGTCATATTACAAGATTTCAGGCCTTTTCAACTACATCATAAGTAGTGTGGCCTAATCTCTTGTGGCACAACTCTAGGTTGGGCTTTCTTAGAAAATTAACTGCATATGCTAAAGGAGAATTAACTTCATGGTTGTTGTCCACTAGTTCACAATATTTGCTTGTAGAGTGAAGATCAAATTGATATAAGCCCTCACTGAGTTTCCCTTGGAGTAGAACAACCTGAGTTGTTTGGTCCTTCACAAAACAAACAGTGGGATGAAACTCAAAGTATACATCATTATCCTTAGCAAACTGAGAGACTGACAACAAGTTCTTAGTTACATTAGGCACATGAAGGAGGTTATTAAGAATAAAGATTTTGGAATTCAATGATGATTTCAAATGACTTGTACCAATGTGTCTTATGGACTCACCATACCATTTCCCATCTATAACCTGTTACCTCCAAGGTATTCATTTGAGATGCTCAGGTTAGAAAAGTCACTGGTGACATGATTGGATGCACCTGAGTCTAGATACCATATGCCATTGTCAAATCCAACCTCAGAACTTGTTGAAGAGTTTGCACCTGATTGAGCCATGTTGAGAACAAGTTTACCGTTGTTTCTGTTTCCAAAGTTACTTTGAGACTGATTCTGGTTTGGGACAAAGGATTGGTCAAACCTATGCCAACATCTATCTGCAGTGTGGCCCATAATCCCACATACTTGACATTGAACCCTATTTCCTTAAAAACTTTCACCTCTACCTTTGTAAGATCCTCTTCTGCCTACTCTTCCTCTCCAGTTGTTGAACATGAGAGCTCTACCTCTTTTATTAGAGGTATTTCCTTGGGTAGAATTACCAGAATCCTTAGAGGCAATATTCAAGGTGGATTGTGAACCATCAGAATTAACCTGATTCACATTAGTGGTCAAGAAATCCAGCCTTGATTCATAGCTTAAAAGTAAAAGTAAAGCTTGAAGATTAATCATTGCCCAAGGCTCAAGTCTAGATGTCACTGCCACCATAATAGAGTTGTACTCTTGTCTTAAACCACTCAATAGATGCAGGATTTGGTCAGACTCACTCACTCTTTCACCAACAGCAGCCAAAAGATTAAAACAAGTTTTCATTTTGTTTAAATATTCCCTCATAGTCAAGCTGCCTTTCTTCATGGTTTGTAACTCTAGATTATGTTGCATTATTCTAGCCCTTGAAAGACTAGAAAAGTTCCTTTCAAGAGCATTCCATATTTCTTTATAGGTGGAAGAACCGACACCAAGGACAAGTATACCTTGACTGAGTGAGGAGAGCTAGGATCCAAGAGGCCAAAAGTTGGTCTTCACTTTGCCACATATCATATTCAGGGTTGACAATCGACATATTACCTTCTTCTGGAGGGATAAAGCGCTCTGGAGGTGCTGTTGTTGGAGCGATGAAAGATTCCAGGCCATATCCTCTTATGACAGTGATGATTTGTTGCTTTCATATTAAAAATGTTCGAATCTTCGAGCTTAATAGAAATGAGCTGAGACTGGGAAAGATAAGCTGATTTGCTGAGCTATTTGAGTTGTTGGAAATCGTACTACCAGGGGTTGGCGTGAAAGTCATGATGAACAAAAAAACAGAGAAATGAAAAACAAAAGACAGAGGTGAAGGAGACAAGGTGATTATGGCTCTGATGCATGAAGAATTTCATGTTATCGCAGGAACAGTGAAGCCGTACATGGCGGCTGTTTGGAACAAAACTCATATCCAAAATATTGTGTATCTCATCCATTGGGCAAAGAATTACATGACATATATATTGAAGCTAGAGCCCTATCAATGAAAGCTAAAGACAAAAGAATTCAGAATATAGCTATTCTGGTCCCATGCATGCATGGTTGGACAAAATGAAAAACTAAGTTATTTCATCTTCTTCTTCCTTTACTGCCTTGACTCGGTCAATGCTCCCATAATCATGCATTTCATCACCCACGAATGTATTCATATGAGTGCATGTCGATCCAACGCTGAAAACACAAATTGTAACCAGTAGCTCAAATGTCATGATTTCCAATGCGGAAGTGACTGGACATTAACTAACCGGGATTATTTATTGTTAATTATTTTAATCCAAAATCCATTACTTTACTATCTATTACATATACAAATTACTAGTATTTGTTAGTTGATTACGACATGAAGGCAAGATTATTACTCCTCAATATCAATATTTTGATGGTACTGCAATTGCCCACTTAATCACGAGAGGTAGCTAAACTCATCATTGATCAATAATTAATAATTAATCTTGGTTTATTTGGTCCAAATCATGAATTGGGACAAACTCATAATTTAAGTCTTGTCATGAGCATGTGAAGGGTCTGATGCTGCAGCTGGATTAGGAGGATAAAACAAATAAATAAAGGCCACTGGGTCTATCATTGTTCTAAAAAACCAATTTTTTTTTTCACCAAAAGAAAACATGTAACCTTTTCAGATTTATTTGTCTTAATAATGGTGACTGATGAGCTGCAAGCCTGCAACAATTAATATATATAAACCCCATGCTGTAACATATTCTCCAATAATTCATTACATTGTGTTTTGTTGACCACTTGCTTATATTTTACTTTTTTTTTTCCTATATAATCTTCACCCTCAATCCCCTTTTCATCAATATATGAAAAAACCACACCACAATCCAATTGTGATAACATATATACCACAAGGAACCTTGAGATATGGAAGCCAAACCATTAACTAAACAAGCCAATGACGACGAGTATTTGCGCGCGAAATCGGAGATATGGTCGTACGTGTTCGGCTTCACCCCAATGGCGGTCGTGAAATGCGCCACCGAGCTCCGAATTGCCGACACTTTGGAATCCAACGGCGGCTCCATGACAATCTCCGACCTATCCGCCGCGCTCGGGTGCTCCACTCCCATCCTTGGCCGCATCATGCGCTACTTGGCCCACCGCGGCTTTTTCAAGCAGACCCGAAAACTGGACGACCCGCCCGAAAAAATTTACTACACCCAAACGGCCCTTTCGCGCATGCTGATGAAAGACTCGGACGACAGCATGATAGCCTTCATTATGTTCGAGAGCAACCCCGTGATGCTTGCTCCGTGGCACAAGCTGAGCGCACGGGCCCGGAAAGATGGTGTGGGCTCGGCTTTCGAGGCCGCACACGGTGAGGACGTGTGGAGTTACGCGGCCAAGAATCCTGAGCACAGCAAGCTGATCGACGACGCCATGTCGTGCCACGCCAGGGTGGCGGTGTCGGAGATTGTCGAGCTCTACCCGGCGGCTTTCGAAGGTGTGCACACATTGGTGGACGTGGGCGGTGGTGACGGGACGACACTTCGTACTCTAGTGAAGTTGTGTCCTTGGGTCCGTGGGATTAACTTCGATCTCCGGCACGTGGTGTCTGTGGCCCCGCAAAGTGTTGGTGTCGATCATGTCGAGGGTGACATGTTCGAGAAGGTTCCGGAGGCCGATGCTTGTTTTCTCATGGTGAGTGTTTGTTTGTAAGATTGAATTTCATTTTTAGTACACTCTATTGTTCATTTTTCAAAAAAAGTCCACCTTATAGTGTGCCACCAAGAATGGTCCACTAAACTGCTAGTTTAATCAAAACACATAAAATAGTCAATACAATGTACTAAAAATGAAAGCTAAAAATAATCATCTTTAATACACTACATAGTTGGTTGCTGTATGAATTTTGATTAAAGTGTGGACGATTCTTGACGTTGCGCATGTGATGACCCTTTTTCGAAAAATGACCAATATAGTGAACCATTTTTAAAATTTTGCCTCGTGAAATGTCATATTTTTATTTATATTCCGACTTACTAAACTACTAACTTATGCAGTGGGTGCTGCATGATTGGAGTGACGATGAGTGCATACAGATACTGAGAAATTGTCGAGAAGCGGTCCCGCAGGACACGGGGAAAGTGATGATAGCCGAGGCGGTGATCAATGAAGGAGGAGGAAAAGAAGAAGACGAGCACATGTACGCGGACGTTCGTCTAGCGTTGGATATGGTGATGTTGGCCCACACGGAAAAAGGGTATGAGAGGACTATGAAAGAATGGGATCACGTAATCAAAGCAGCTGGCTTCACAAAGTACACGGTGAAGCACATTCATGCCATTGTGTCCGTGATTGAGGCGTACCCATGACTGGATTTTACAATTATAATGCCTTTTTTAGTTAGTCATCCTTTTCAAATAATAAACTGTGTGAGCATTCGATATGTTTGATCTAATAATGCAGTCGCGTGTTTTTGGTTTCAAATAATAAACTGTGTCGTGATTAATGGATTCCGAGTTATAAATTCTAAAGCGACCCAAATTTCTCCCGCAAGAAAAAACACCAATTCCTTAACCCAATCCGACCGACCTCCTCTCCGGCGGGGCTCCGCCCCCGCAATTTCGTCTGGTCCTCAGCGACCCTGGCAGTCAGGTTCGCTTTTCTCGGTGGGCTTCGACCTTCCATTCCGTCTTCAAGTGGACTTCTTCCGTCGCGGATGCCATGGTGGTCGGTGGATGGAGGCCGTTGTCTTGCCGGCGTCGAGTTGGTATGGTGTCGGCGTTGCGTTTCGGCCGCCTGTGTTGAGGCCGGCTCTACGGTTCTCCCTGGATTTGTTTTTCCTAGTGCTGAAACAGTAGTTCGTCCGGCGGGCGTTGCTCTAGTGGCTGCGGCTGATGGATTTTGTGGTGGGAGAGGGCGGTGGTGCTGGTATCTTGGGGTGGTCTATGGTGTTGAATCAATATTGTTTGGTTTTGGGTCCGTCGCCTCGAGTTGAGTTAGTCGTAGGATAGAGGGATGAAACGTATAATTATAGCGGAGTGCGCTTATTGGTGGTACGAACTGAGATAAGAATTCAATAATGCAGAAGCAGAAAACCGAAGATTAAAAAACTCTTCAGGGAAGTATCCCACTTCCCCTCAGAGCTCTTTCATTGATAGATCAAACATACACATAGCTTGGACTTACAAAGACTCGAACTCCCTTCAAGCCTAGCCAACACTACACAGATCCTATCAACTATTTCTCCGGCCATGTCCCGTGGACTTTAACAATCTACACTTACTCCCTAAGTGTATAAGCTGTAAAGTAGTTTTGGATGAAACACAAAGAACTAAACAAAAAACAGTTTCAGTCCTTGAGTGAGTAAGAACTCTCAGACTGAACTGTGTACAACTGAACTTAAACTGAAAGTACGAAGCTCATATATTGCTCTAAAAATCTTCAAAACTCAGCAGCCGCAATGAGAGCTTTCACTAGGGTATTTAAAATGAATCTCCTTAGGGTTGGAGTCTTCTACAAGGCATAGGACTCCAACCTTGATTTCTTTCCATACAAATAGCATATCTTAGGTAAGTAGATCTCCTCTTCTCTCTCCATAATCTTTTCTACACGCACGGCTCTTCTTCCCTTTATCTCTAGCACTTCCAATTTCCTACAAAATAAAATACTATAATAAGACCCACAATATCTTATATATGAAATATAAAATAAACTTAATTAAGAAAATAAAATATTTGAAGATCTTCCCTTTTTCTGTGGTTCCAGGTTCTTGTTCGAACCAACGAACTACTGCCAAAATAAAATATCTTTCAATCTCCCCCTTTGGCATCTAGTTCGAAAATAATAGACATCAAGGTCTCCTGAAATTAAAACAACAAGCACCAAGAAACTAATCACATCAAGGGGTTAGATCACACAGAAATATCATACTTGCACTTCTCCCCCTTAGTACCTGCAGTCAATACAAAATGAATCTAACAATCATCTATTCAATCAAAATAAGCAGACAACAAGAACATCAATATCGCCATCATTCAAAATAAGGAAAAGAGTAGCAATACGGTCACATCATCAAAAGCAGACATAAGAGGTTCTTAATTACAATAAGACCTCACTACAGCACTCAAAACACACAGAGGGGACAAAGAGCAGCACTAATCCTCAAAGTAGTTTGCAATGGCATCATCCGTGCTGTCGCCCCCAGAATCTGAATTCTCACCATCATCAGCAACAACATTCTTCTTGCTTGAAGCTTTCTCCCCCTTTTTCGAACTACGGGATGCCGATGGGCCTGTCCCCGTGTTCTTTCACTGCTTCCCTTTGACTGCTTGAAGAACCTGACGCAGATAAGACTGTTGAGCAGCAACCTTCTTGGCCAGGTCATCCCATTCACCCAACTGCTGAATGACAAATTCGTCCCACTTAGTGGGAACCACTGAAGGAGTCAGGTCCTGCTTCGGAGCAGCTTTCTCACTCAAGGTACGGTTGCTAACAACCAGATCTTTACCAGGAGGCTTAAGAGAGTCATTGTACCGAGGATTCAAAGAGAAATTTTGAGCAGCAAGAAGGGACCAGATCAAGCAAGGAAAAGGTAGAGAACGACGAGACTCAATATTGGCAATGAAGGGCTGAAGAATCTCAAACACAACCTCCCCAAAATTAAAGGGCTGACCCACCATCACCCAACAGATAACCTTGCTTTGCAATTCAGTGAGCAAGGTTTTGTTGGACGTGGGGGTCCAATTCCCTGCTCCCACTTTATGAAGAAGATTTGCAACAAGGCACAAAGAATTAACAGGGAGGTTTGACCCAGGCCAGGTATCAAGCTGATTGGCAGTAAGAACCTGGGTTACAACATCAAGATCAACATCCGGCAAAGGGGGAGTATCAGAGGGAACACCCAAATGAGCATTGATCAAAGCAGGTGAAAAATCGATAATACGGTTACGCAAAAAGAGATTATGAAAACGTAGGCTACCAGGTTCAAAGATAGCAGGGGTAAGATTGGCAAAAAATTCACAAACAACTTGGTCACAGAAAGAACTCAAATCCACAACAGTTTTAGACAACCCAACAGAATCAATCAGAGGAAGAACACCAAGTTCAACAAATTTCTCATCCTTAAGAGGATGTTCACTCCAAAACCCATAAGACTTAAAACGCTCAAACCTGACATGAGAGGCCTCGGTATAGAACCGGTTTGTAAATGCATTCTCGAGATCATAGGCGTCATCTTCTGGTTCTGGGGGCACCAGATTTTCATCGATTGGTTCTTTGCCTCTGCGACGAGTGGAGCGTCGCACCGGGGCCCTTGGAGGTGGAGTGGGTTGGTCTGAGTGAACCTCAACAGCGGTAGCAGCGGTATCATCCTTGTCTCCGTCGGTGACAGACTTGGTGGCAGATGTCGGAACAACAGACGACTCCCCCTGAGCATGAACCGCAGGAGGCTCAACAAACCCAGAGAGGCCAGGTACTCCAGTGGCCAGGGGAGACACTTCAAGATTCTTGCCCATGTTGTCTGATTTAGACGGGGAATCAGATGGAGAACTGGAGAGCGTAACAGATTTTGACGGAGGAGACGATTCAGGGGATGGAGATTTTGCCGGTGGAGTGGATTCTCGTGCAGAGCTAGTAGTAAGAGAGAGACGACGGCGCTTCAACCTCTTTTCTTTGTGTTTCTTGAGCCGCTTCTTCGACTTGTCCTTGCTTCCATCCATGGGAGAAGAACGGTGATTGAGATTGAAAAATAGGGTTTCAGAAGGTTTGAAAAGAAGAATAGGAGAAGAAGATAATTTCAGACGAAAAAGGAATGATTGAGAGGTGGAGAATCGTGAAGGATATAAAGTGTTCTGACAAGGATAACTGCAAAAGGCGGTTCCCGAGATTCAAGGTGAGGAGAGAGAAAGAGACGTTGCAAATTGGGCGGTTGATGGCAAGAAACTGATCCCTCCAAATCCGAAATTCAAACACAATACAACCTCTCACACAAATAACTTCTCACATTATTTCGATTTTTAGGAAAGAAATCAGATTTTATATTTGAACATATATTCTTCACAAAATTTTAGACTCAAAATAGATCATATTCAAAAAGGAAATCATATGCAAGTATGCCTAAATTATGAGAAATAAAAATAAGGAATAAAAATCGCACACAAAATACACTAGATTCAAAAAATCTTTTCCTTCTCAACTTAGACAAAATTGATGGAAATAGCCCAAGATCAACTTTGATATTCAGATTTCCCAAGGAACATACGATAAACAGATATATGTATATACACAAGGTAGTGCGAACCACAACAAGAACACATGCCTTATTATTCATAGTGCGTTTCACTTAGTAACAATCACTGCAATAGTGAAAGTCAACCCCACTACTTTGCACCACGATTTTAAGCAAGGATCCTCCAATTTTTTTTTTTTTTTTATTAAATCAGCACTACGTTTTTATGAGCATGGCCACCTTATTGCTCCAAGTAAGAACATCACATAGTAATATGCAATGCGTGTCACTAGCTTACACCCTTTCTCAACATTTTCTATCCCAGACGCTCTTTTCACAGTTGATCCCGCATTGGGAAACGAACCATGTGCTAGCTATCGCTCTAGATCATTTATGAGAAGGCAGCTCTTCGTGACAAAAACCAAAAATACAGAAAATAAGTACGTTCCTCGGTACCATAAGAACACGCAGTCAGTCTTAGACAATCAACACCTCTCAAGTTTTCAGAAGAGTTAGAACTTCAATCAAGAATCCAGTGGTACAGAGAATGCAAAATGCAAAATGTGCCTAATGCGAAATACCCTATATGCTTACACGCAATGCAATAGATACTTACTAGTAATATACAATACAATATAATATAATGCAAAGTCACACAAGCACTCAGAATGAGTAGATCCCTAAGGATTTCCTTAGAGAAATGAACCTTTGAGAATCCAGTGCCTTAGTGAAGATGTCAGCCAACTAGTTTTGCGTAGAAACATACTCAAGTATAATCACATCATACTCAACTAAATCTCTAATAAAGTGATACCAGATATCTATGTGTTTAGTCCTAGAATGTTGAACCGGATTCTTAGAGATGTTAATAGCACTGGTATTGTCACAAAAAAGGTTCACGGTTCTTACCTCAAGACCAAACTCAATCATCATTTGCTTCATCCACATGAGCTGAGAACAGCAACTTCCAGCAGATATGTATTCAGGTTCAGCTGTCGAGAGTGCTACGCAATTTTGCTTCTTACTAAGCCAGGAGATGAGATTATTGCCAATGTAGAAGCAACCACCAGAGGTACTGCGTCGATCATCGACGTTCCCAGCCCAATCTGCATCACTATAACCTGCAAGACTAGAAGACGTGTCTCGTGAGTACAGAATACCCAAGTCATATGTACCATGCACATATTTGATAATGTGCTTCACTGCCTTCAAGTGTGATTCCTTAGGATTGGCTTGGTACCAAGCGCACATCCCTACACTAAAACACAGATCAGGTCTACTGGCGGTCAAATAAAGCAAACTACCAATCATGCTTCTATAAAGCATAGAATCAACAGAAGTTCCAGCATCATCCTTGGAAAGCTTAGAGTGGCTCCCCATAGGAGTTGCTGGACACTTAGAATTTTCAAGACCAAATTTTCTCACAAGATTCTTGGCATATTTGGTCTGATGAAGAAATATCCCCTCCTTTGATTGTTTAACTTGCAACCCTAAGAAATAGGACATCTCTCCTACCATGCTCATCTCAAATTCTTTAGACATGTGAGTAACAAAATCATTCACCCAAGTTCTCGAGGTAGAACCAAAGATAATATCATCTACATAAATCTTTACAATGATAATATCTTTATTAGATTTTTTAACAAAAAGAGTTTTATCAACTCCCCCTCGAGAATACCTCATTTTGACCAAAAATTGAGTTAAGTGTTCGTACCAGGCACGAGGAGCCTGTTTAAGTCCGTACAACGCCTTCTTTAACCTGTAAACAT